CCTTGGACGGCAGGAAACTAATCACCCCAAAAGTTTAATAGGTGCGTGGTTTCAATCAAGTTGAGTTTAAATTTTTATATTAAGTTGGAGAATTATTCAGTAGGGGAAGCGGGGCAGTTTGACACAGGGGGCACATTCATACACCTGCATTATCTCCACACCTTCAAACATAATATTACTTGTGATAATATTAAAACGTGTCATGAGTAGTAGACATGATGCAGCTCACCAGTTAGCCGTTGTAGTTCGACAGGTCGCAAAGTGTTTTCACAGCCGTTGACTAAAAAAATAACTGACACAAATACTAGTGCCACTGCAGTTTTGTTCAATTTACAGGGTGTTATGTCTTCATGCAGGGTAAACTAGTGTTTTCAGTAACTAGAATTGGATGTGACTGAGAGAACATATAATGATTTTTTTTAAATAAATTTTCTTTTCTAAACTAGCAGGGTGGGGTACTTTTATACGCTAATGAGTGGGACAGTTTGGTACGTATCAAAGTTCTCCTATTAGTTATTTTATACGAAAAATATAAGACTGTTTCAACAAGTTTGAAAGGGTTGAAACCCTAACAACCGTGATCAGGATCACGGCAGTAAAACAGGAAACTTCCGGTCCACAAATTTATTTAACGTGAAATAAAAGGTGAAATAAAGAAAAAAACTGTAACAAATAAAAGGTAAATGTAGAAAACAGCTCATTAATAAAAAACACTCCCTAACTTAAACCTAAAATTGGTAGATGTTAAATTTAGGCACTTACCCCTTATCGGGTTGTATTATGTTGAATTACAGATAGACTATATAGATTTTAAGACTTTCGTGGTTATTCCCTAAATGATTATATTTATTTAGTTATTCCCTATATGATTAAAATAAAAAGAAGTCATACCGTGGTAAGAAACCTGATATTAGTGATAATCATTTACAGATAGACTGTTATTCGCTTATTATGGTCAATACATGATTTACATTGATTGTATCATGATTAAACTTGAAAAGAATAAAAAAATTTGACAATTTGATTTAGTAGTATCTGCTATCGCGGTCAAGCAGGGAGTGACCGTCGAAAGAAATAAAATCAGAATGCGAAGGAAAATGTAACAATTCAAAATTTTAAATTTAAATATGAGAAGAAAAACGATACGATACGAATGGAGAGAGGCGACACAAAAAGATGGGATGACGGTGCAAGTAGGTCACACCGTCACAATAACCGGGGGGCCGGAGATAACAAAAACATTCACGATTTTTTGAAGTCTAAAGTTAAAGAGAAAGGATAATGGAAAGAGAATAAACTAAGAATAGTGGTAGAGAAGGGATAGAGTAACGAGTAATAGAGAAGGGAGAAAGTGCGTTGTAAGGTTGACTTTGTGACCTCATGCGACAGGTTTTTCGATACCGTCGAAATCTTGAGTGAGCATAGATCCTAAGTCATATGCTGAGGCGTCACAATGGACTAAAAAAGATTTTGTGAAGTCAGGACAAGATAGTATAGGTCTAGTATACGAGAGCTTGTTTAATTGAATTGAAAGCTTTTTCTGCTTCATGGGTTCATTTAAAGGGTGGAGCTTTTTTACTAGTAGACGTAAGTTTGGTCGACAGTACCTATAGTACGATTGGTTTCTAATTTGAAACCGTGTTTACATATTTGTGGATGAAAATTATTTCCAAGGATTGTGATAACATTTCCACTATCTAACAGTCCTGTTATAAGTTATTGTAAAGAGGTGAACTAGTGACATTTTGCGCTATAGTCAGCTCTTCCTCCTGTATTTCTACTTCCTAGATTACATTAGCAACACTGCTGAGGATGCAACCGGGACAATGCTTAGATGAGAGACAGAGATTACAAAGAATACTTTTCAAATGGTGCAATAGAAAGAAGTCTTGATCTAGCAAGTGCGGAGGCACATTTATAGCGTCTTACTTTATGAACAGTTGATCACCTAGTGCTGATAATATGTAGCAACCAGGAATAGCACACTACGTTGACTCACACATTCTAAGTGCCCCAAGCGATGTATCAAATTATCCGAGAGATGTACTAACCTAACTGTGCGCCTGAGTTGTCTCCTGTTCTCACACGCCTATACCGCCTCTCACTTGAGACTGGTGTTGTTCCCAGGTCGTGGAAGCTTGCAAACGTACAACCTGTGCTGAAAAAGGGAAGCAGAGCTGACCCTGTCAACTATAGACCTATGTATCTCAGTCACTTCCATACTCTGCACGAATATGGAACGTGTACTCAACAACCGTCTCCAGTCGTACCTTGAAGACAACGACCTCCTCAGTGATCGCCAGTAAGGATTCCGACCAGGGCGATCAACTGTGGATCTTCTTGTGTATGCCTGTCACATATGGAGCGAGGCTATAGAAAAGCAAGGCGAATCACTTGCAGTGCTTTGGACATTTCTAAAGCTTTGGACAGAGTCTGGCACGCAAGCCTTTTAAGAAAGCTTCCCTCTTATGGACTTTCCACTAACCTTTGCAAACGTATCTCGGATTTCTTGAGCGAACATTCGATTCGAGTGGTCTTAGAACTACTACTCTTCCGAACATATGGCCACAGATGGAGTTCCGTACAGTCTGCAACTCTCTTTCTGCTGCATATCAATGATATATTAATTCCAGGTACCTTTGCATATGCTGATGACAACACAATTGTAGATAGATACTTGAACAATGCAAGGGTCAGTGCAGAGGAAATCCAGTGTTGTCGAGTGTCCACGGTTGGCCGTTTGGATTTGACACTCCAGGCAGTGTCCGATTGCGGCGATGCCAATCTTGTCAATTTTGACGCTACCAAAACGCAGGCGTGTCTATTCTCCACAAAACGGAGTCCCTTTGAGCTAACTCCGACTTTTTGTGATATATCCATAACGATAGCCGACTGTCTCTAGCTACTTAGAATAGAGCTGTTGTCCAATTTGAACTTCGGCAGATACGTTGAATCCATGGCCAAACATGCAGCAAGGCAGCTTGGCATCCTTTCCCTGGAACGATGTGATGAATGAATGGAATGAAATTTTAATACTTAGTCGTTGTTTACATATTTTGAATCCATGGCCAAAAGTGCAGCCACGAAGTTTGGCATCCTTTTCAAGGTGAGGCGTTACTTCACACCGGGACAGTTGCTTTAGCTGTACCAATCACAAGTCCGGTCGTGTATGGAAACTGCTGCCACCTTTGGGATGGCTTTGCTGCATATCAACTGGCCACTTTGGATTCAATCGACAATCGTCTCAAGAGGCTTATGGGTGACTCGAAATCAGTGGAGGCGAAACTGCTCACCGCTGTAAAGTTGCCTGCTTATCGGTATTTGGCAGGATATATCACGGAGAGTGTGGGATGGAATTACACGATTTAATTCCGCCTTTCCATCACCGGGGGACTAGGCGTAGGCTTGATTCCACTCCTATGTTGTGGATATTCCAAAGATTCGCACGAAGCGTTACGCTTTAGAGGTGAAGCGGAGGTGGCGAGGTGAGATGGAGGTCAAAGCGCACTTACGTTTTATAAAAAAAAACTCTCTGAATAACTTCTTTCATAAATTAACTACTTGTTATTATATTATTTTACATTTGTATATTATATTGTTGTTGGTAAGTCACATGGACATTTAAATTTGTTTAAGTTTTAAATTCGAGAATATAGAAAGTGTCAAAAAATGATCATTTTAAACATTGACTTACAAATAAATGGACAACGGGTCTAATACAAAAACCACGCAAAAAATTTTCCCAAGTCAACCTATTTAAACGTAGTGACATGTAAAGGAATATGAAAAGGCTAAAACGTTGAATTGAAATTGTAATGTCATCGCAGTACTGTCTAATTTTGCTTGCTTCGCTGTCAGTCGAACAAACGAAGACTAAAGCGCTCTGTATACGATTTTAACGTCCTATAAGTTCGGATACTTTTTAGCGCGGACCCGACGTCCATATAATTGTAAGTCAATGATTTTAAATGCAAAAGCAGCAGACAAAAAATGTAAACGATCACATTTTTTAATGATTGCTCTTCATTGTCTGATACATAAAATAAATTAAGTTGATGGATATTTTAAAGTGTTCTAAGTACTAAGCTACGCAAAAAAAATTTGATTTGTGTAAATTAACTTTGATAGTTTTATGTTGGACCTCAAAAGTAAGACATGAAATTTAGATATTTATTTTTAAAACTAAGTAAATGATTGTTGAGTTAACGATGTTAAGTAAATGATGATATGTTGAATATATTTGTATACCTACTATTAATATTATTTTAATTATAATATAATTTGACCTGAGAACATGTCCGAAAACGCAAGCAAAATGGCGTCTGTTACGCTGCTTTTTTCATATAGGTACTAAACTAACCTACTCAATGGAGGTCACAACCAACAACCAAGATTAATTAGGAGATCAATATCAAAAGATATACTGGTTATAAATGTCATCAATCGTTAAAAAAAGACCAATGTTAAAAAAAGAGGATGTAATATTATTTTTTTAATACCAAATATTAATTTAGTATTTAGTACCATTGACTTACAATTATATGGACGTCGGGTCCGCGCTAAAAAGTGCCCGAACTTATAGGGCGTTAAAATAGTATACAGAGCGTCATTCACGCTTTAGTCTTCGTTTATTCGACTGACAGCGTAGCAAGCAAAATTAGACAGTACTGCGATGACATTACAATTAAATTCAACGTTTTAGCTTTTTCATATTCCTTTACACGTTTAAATAGGTTGACTTGGGACATTTTTTTCGTGGTTTGTGTATTAGACCCGTCGTCCATTTATTTGTAAGTCAATGGCTTATACACAATAATAGTGTTACCTTGAATGCAGTTCATTTACCGTAGATCAACTAAACTATAGATGGAACAATTAATAATATATTTATTAAACATACAAAAAAATATCGTTTATTTATACAAGTACACACATTACAATAGATCAATTATTTCTTTAAGGATCAAATACTATTATCCCTTAATAAAATTGTGATGCCATCATTCTGCGCCTCTCTCGCCGAGCGCGAACGGCGCCCGCGCTGCCGTGCGCAGGTAGAAGTTGCCTCGCAGACTGAAACACAGAAGGCAAACACTTTCAGTTATTAAGGAATGAGTCAGAGCCTGGCTACGAGTCAATGGCGATTCACCCAAGATACAATTTTACAAGTCTTAAGCCTGCTGCATCAACAAGTAAACAGACCTGACCATACATATTTTCCCAGGTAAATCTTGTGATCTACTACAAGGTTATGCTCTTTTACTACACAGTATCCACTAGTTTCTTGAGTAAACGTTTACTTTCAAATTTATAAACACGCGTTTCACAAAAACAAATAAAATGCACAAAAACAAAAAATATTCACTCGTATTAAACAAATATAGATACACAAAGTAAGGCATCGACGTCAGACACTCACGTGTCAAAGTGGAGTTTGGAGAATAATGTAATAATATACTTGTCCATAATTAGTGCTAGTAAATAACACCTGCACAGGTGACCGGCGTCAGTACTACGACAGGCCAGTACGTAGATTTATACCTATGTGGCATCAATACTGGACAATCAATGCTACCGTAACAAACCTCATTAGAAAAATGACGTCATGTAACGACCTATGGAAATAAATAGTAGTAGTTAGTTTTCGTAGCAAGGATTCCAGATTTTACTTGAAATTCTATCAGATATCCTATAGCATTTTCGGATACAGATGTGTGTTTAATATAACATTGCCAAGGCTGAGTAGAAATACTTTTTTGTTGTTTTGTTTTTTGTTACTGACTTTGATGAAGCGTCAATCCCCATTAGGGCTGACGGCTCCTCTCCACACTGCCCGCGCAGAAACGTGTCGTAGTCCTCGCATCGCCGCGACAGAAACTGCCCGCCAGCCACTGACTCCGCCCAGAATGCCCACGACCGCCAGTGGCTGCAGAAGTCTGAAAATCAGTCAATAGTTTATGACGTGAATATACGCAAGACGTAACATCAATAAAAAGTAGTTACGTACTCAAGTGATCGAGTTTGAGAAAGATAGACAGACAACGGTGCCAAGATTACATTGTCAGAGAAGGAGAACAATAAAATTGTACAGCGTTACGGTACTAACCCTCATATGTAAGTGGAATAGTGGCCGAGATACAGCCGGGCTGTTTGGCTCGCCCTTCGTTAGGCCAGAAATCAGCGTGGCCAGCACGGCTTGGCGCGCCGTATCCGCCGCCATCCGTGTGAATAACGTCTACGAAATCTGCGTCGTGGACAGACATAGGAGATGCTAGGATTGCTGGGTAGAAGCCAGGGTAAGCAGGATCCAGCCCCGTTAGCCTACAGTAAAATTGGAAGGGTGTGAAGAACGCCCACTATAAATATAAATTGTAGGACGTTAATTACTCTTTGTATACAATAAAACGTTGTTGGCGAAATTTGTTATCTTACGTCAATTACTTATATGTATTTATTGAATAACTACTCACCTACCTGGGTACTGGATGTCCTCTGTCAGCTAGGCTCCTAGCGGTGAAACCGAGCAAGTGTGCACCCATCGAGTGCCCCACAAGGTGCAGTCCTTTCGGCGAAAGTCCTTCCTTCAGTAGCATTGACAATGCTTTACCTGTTTCAATGCCTATCTGGAAGAAACTCCGTTTATGAATGCAAGAACGATAATGGTACGCCAATATCATTCATTACAGATTAGGTATCGATCGCAGTTAAAACAACCACTGAGCGCTGCACCTTCTTTATGGCGGGGTTGAATTGGATACAGGTGGCACAGAATCGAGTGAAGTGGCAGAAACTGAAGGAGGTCTACATCGATGTGGTTGAGAATGCCATTTAGCGAGAAATAATGAACCCGCGTTGAATATTGCTACAGATAATATAACATTACACTACGAGTATTACAGATACCCAATATCTAAAGAAATGTCAAATGTTAACGCTAACGATGGTACCAAATAAACCCGCGATGCGATTGTAATAGTATCCGGAAAGGGCAACAGATGGCAGCTCTTAAATTTTTGTCAAAGTTATGGCTATTGTTCAGGCGGTGATTAATGTATACAATAATTATATAAAAATATTGCAAAGAACAGCTTCTTTCTTCAGTCAGTTACTATAATATTTAAAATAAAAAGTCAGTGACAAACCGTTACTTCGTTTCGGGAATTAATTCAAAGAAGTACCATCTATACAATTCATTGCAAACTATCAAATCAAAAAGAATACCATTGAGAAACCTTCGATTTGTTATTTTTTCAACGACAGTTAAATGTATTCACCAATTTACATAATAATTGTAAATGTATTTTAATTTCAAAATTTCTTTTTTTTAAATTTTCTACTTCTTGAGTCGTTGTGTCGCCATCCACAGTTTTAAATGTGCTTGAAAGTTGATTTGTATGAATTGATACCCCAGGATATTGCACAGGTGCATTTAAAGCCATGTTAGAGCCTATGCACATGATGTAATTTAACCGCGCGCCATAAACGCTTGACATTTGAGTGTATACGCGCCGCAGACGCCCTGTAGTCGCGTGTAGTTACGTATCGCGCATTCTGATAAAAGATCGTTTTAATTTTAGTTTTGTTTGTTAGTTTCAGTTAGTTTTTTGAAACAAAGCAAGCAAAAACGCGCAGTTGACGCGCGTTTATGGCGGTGAAACGTGTACGCGTATAAAATAACTCTTATCTGTTTTAATGTTATAGATGTAGCACCCGAAATTTGGCTTGGTGAATGGTTAAGAGCTAACGGATTATCAATCAGACTGCAAATAATACCAATAGGGTCAACATGGTACTGCTACGACTGCTGAGGTACAAACCGGTTTCAAGTCGAGCGCGACTGCAAGGTAGTTCCCGAAGCCTAGATTGGCCCAGTCCACCACGACAATGTTGAAATCTCCGCGTCCCTGGTAAGCGCGCACCACAGCCATCACACTCTCGTCTGACGACAATTCCACGTATCTACAAAATAAGAGAGTGGCCATACATCGTATATGCAACAAAAAGTCCACCAAGTGCGACTCGGACTCGCGCTTTGAGGGTCAATAAGAAAATATTATCAATTCTTCTAAACGGTCCGGTTGCACGTTAAGGGGTTATTTTATTACTCGTGAATACAAAAGACTTACAATCATTGACTATATTTATAACCGCTCACGCGATGCGCTCATCCCACCGCAAAATGGCGGCTATTTGGTTTCGCAAATTAGAAAAGCATTCAGTTTAAATACAAGTTTTTATAAATAAAAATTAATATTAAATACCCTCCGTACTACAATAAAAATATCTCAAATAAAATGCAGTAATACATCGCAAATCCTGCATTTAAAAAGCACTAATGAAAATTTTGGTGTACTTGGGTAAATATGATAATATTCCGTTTGAGTGGTTCTAACGTTTACCATGAAATTACTCCTTAAAGTATAGTTTATAAACATTTATATTCAGGGTAAACTTAAAAAACGTTACTTACGGTATGTTTTCAATAAATAAACACCGAAATCACCAGCTCAAAAAATAACACACACGATTGTCGTGACGTATTTTTGAAGTTGTTTATTTTTTTTAAATGACAGATCCATGCATTAAAAACTTTATGGTTTGCTAGAGTAGTTACCGAAATAGCAATTAGTATTAGTTCTTTTACCTGTTATAACTTCGATATCCGATAAATCGGTATAAAATCATCACCGGCACCTCCAGGTGTGGTATGCGTCTACGGCTGCATGTATCGCGTGAGCGGATAAGCGTTAAATAGGTATTAAAGTAAAATGACTAAAACTACACATAGGTACCCATGAGCATATACTACTGTAGGCTTGGCACGGTCCAAGGCGGCATCTGAGAGCATTCCTTTGGCATCCCGCAGCCGATACGACTTGGGCAGGGTTGAGTTTTCCCTGAAAAGTATCATTTATTCTTGTATTAAAACTTGGTACTAAGCAAGAGTTAACTCACTATGCTGCATCTTCAGAGTACAATCATTTGAAAAAAATAGAAAAAGGAAATTAAATATCTACCTTTGTTTCGATTGCAAAATTTCTCATTCAGAACTATTTAATGCGCAAATAAATCTGTTTACCCATAAACTCGAAGGAATACATCGCCCAGAGACGCAGACCTGCCTTTGGGCACTGAAACAGAGTAAATTTAACTTTATTTTTTATGGCTTTTAATAAAACCTTTATTAAGAGCAAATTTCAAAAGTGCCAGGAAACTACTGATTGAGTCGTACGTGTATTAAAAGTATTACAGTGTATGGTACTGAGTACCCACATGACAATAGAGAAGCGCAGGGAAAAGATGTTTAGGCCCTGTGAGCGGCTTGTGATACAAAACTACTCTTTTAAATCTCTCTAAGATCCATTAATTTGGAGACATTTAAAAACGCTGCACGTAAGTTATTACTTTAATGTTGCAGTAGATCTTCTTATGATAGACTTCGTCCAGGGAATTTATGCCACCTTACCTATTTCTGTCGCAAAGTAATGTGGGCATTACTGCGTTCCAGTCTTGAAAGGTGAGGGTGCTGGCTGGTGAAATTACAGGCACTTGGGACTTGTCAACTTATGTCTAAACCTTAATCAGAGTGGCGGCGGGTGCGGGTGCGTGTAAATCAAATGTACGGAGACGCTCCTTGCGTTCACAGTGGTGGCGCGCGCCGGCGCCTTCCTCGGTTGGATCTATTGGCTCAATCTGCCCATACCTATCCAGTGCTGTTCAAGCATTGACTTACAAATAAATGGACGACGGGTCTAATACAAAAACCACGAAAAAAATGTCCCAAGTCAACCTATTTAAACGTAGTGACATGTAAAGGAATATGAAAAAGCTAAAACGTTGAATTTAAATTGTAATGTCATCGCAGTACTGTCTAATTTTTCTTGCTTCGCTGTCAGTCGAACAAACGAAGACTAAAACGTGAATGACGCTCTGTATACGATTTTAACGCCCTATAAGTTCGGACACTTTTTAGCGCGGACCCGACGTCCATATAATTGTAAGTCAATGTGTTCAAGCGTCTGTTTGCGATTTCGTCGTCTGGATATACACGTTCCTAGCCGCTTAGGCAATATATCGAAAGACGCCCAGACCCGCGCCCCGCATCCGCCACCGCGCCCGCGCCTGCGCTCCGAATAAGCCCATAAGGTGGCGGACGCTGCGATTTAAACCTCTGAGTGGCACGCAACTGTCATAGACAGGCGCAGACTCGCGTGTGCATACTTATCAGACAAGCAATTGATCTGAGTGAAAGATCATTGCGATCAACATTTTTTGTTGACACTGGCATATTTAAGTTGCTTTGGTTCTGCTCCTAGCTCTGCTGTTAAATGACATGAAAAATCACCCCATACAAATGGCCTATGCTTTTAACCGGGGCATGATTTATTAAAGCGTACTGATAAATATCTTAAGTGCATGCTTAAGTAAACACTTAATTAAGAGAAAGAAGACGTTACCAGTAGTCTTGACCCGCAGTATCTGGCGGAAGCTGTTGGGTGACAGAGGCAGGCCCACGTCTTGCTGGCCCTTACATAGCACCACACCTGAAACGCATAGTAAACGCGAATGGCGTATTACTAAATTGTACAATTTTGTACAAGATCCAACCATCTGCGTCTTCCGGTACCGCGTCGCCACCCGACAACTCTTCTACCCCATCGGCCATATCTCTTCTACAGTACTATTCACAAGGCGGACCGATGACCTAGTGAAAGTTGCGGGAATCCGATGTCCGGCAGCGGACGTCTTTAGGCTAAAATAATGATCGTGTCGACGTGTCTCCGCGATTAAGACTTATTCCCATCTGATCCCCTAAAACCGATCCCTTGGGGGATCCGTAAATTATTTTCTATTCCCGTCGGATCCCCAACGCAGGGGATCAAGAATAAATATTAATATTTTATACCCACCTGATACCCTGGGTCTCACAAGTTTATTTCATTTAGTTTATTAGAAATGAACAACAATACTAACTTATATAACTGTATTAACTTTGATATCAAAACTTCTTTTTCTCTTGACTGTACTTACCTTACAAATCAGTTGCAATTTAAAATTGGCGGTGCATCAGTTTTGGGGATCAGATGGGAATACGTCGTGATTAGAGCTCTGGATTGGCAAATTGTTTCAGAATGCTTATGTTCAATAACATACTGAGTACCAGTAGGCGTTTCGCGAAAGGAGGTGCTATGGAATTGGTTAGGTACTCGTACTTCCCAATGTTCAACAGTGTAGCAATTTAAGTACTTTAGTAATATTACTACCCATCAACGTATTAAAATGACGTTAGCACAACAGGTTGTTTGCTGTAATCGCGGTAAGAATGTGTTCAGATGGGGTGTGTAATGGAAGATCATCAAATAATGTATTTTCACATTTGATATAATTTCCAAGGATATAATCACTCACTGTTTATAATCAACAAAAGGTATAACAACAAAAGGCATAATTTCAATGGTATAATGAACCTTCAGTATAACAAACATTAGATATAGTGATTAAGTGACATAATAAAGAAATGGTATAAGTACTACCAGTATAATGTATTAAATGATATAACACAGTATTTCGTTTTACGAATAGTTGATAAGAATTTTTTTATTCCATTAAATGTACAATCGCAAAATATAATTGTTTTTGTACAGCTTTTTGTGTTATAAAATATATTTATTAAAATTTTAAGCAGAATATTTAATTGCATATTTACTAACCTAACCTAAACCCACAGGAGGTCGAACCAATTAGCAAATGCAAACAAACTCAATTCTGGCAGCTTTGTCATATACCAACCTTTTTTTTTTTTTTTTTTTTTTTTTTTTTAACCTAAACCCAAGAGGAGGAGGTTTTACCAGCTACGTAATATAAACAAATTCAGTTCATTCACCGTTGCACCTAAACACCACTGGAATTATATTAATATATTTTTTTCACATACGTGTGAAAAAAATTAGTGTATGCACCATTGACTTACAATTATATGGACGTCGGGTCCGCGCTAAAAAGTGTCCGCACTTGTAAGGCGCTAAAATCGTATACAGAGCGCTACAAACTCCGCTTTAGTCTTCATTTGTTCGACTGACAGCGCGATACTGCGATGACATTACAATTTAAATTTCGAATAGGTTGACTTGGGACATTTTTTTCGTGGTTTTTGTATTAGACCCGTCGTCCATTTATTTGTAAGTCAATGGTATGCACAGTCAACATTATACTCAGTGAATGTTATATCTGAAGTGTTTATATAAAAAGAACATTATGCCAGCGGTATATTAGATTGAAAGTTGTTATATCAAACGTCTATTATACCCAGTGACCTTTATATCATGGAATAATATGTCAAATGTCTGTATACCATAAACTAATTATATCTGTTGAGCGTTATATCGACTAAAAATATGTGATTTGTTGTTATATATTACGAATCGCACCCGTTCAGAGGTTCTGATGATGCCTTCGAAATTATTTATAACACTACTAGGTATAACTACCAACCATATAACTACCATATAACTACTATGTACCATGAGTGCAGAGTAACGTATGTAATTTCTGGGGCTCTTCCTAGAAAACCCCACACCAGAACTAATTTAGAAAATTAGCTACATACATTGGTCCTACCAGTAACAGAACTCGGGGCCTCCTCATCAGGCGCTCATTGTGCTAATCACTGAGCTATGGAGGTCGTCAATAATTTAGGAAGCACAACAAAAAAAAATATTAGCAGATATATCGTACGTTCATGTTTATGGTTCTGTCCGATTCAAGGTCAGGGCCACAACCATTGTGTAGAATAAAAAACCGATCTCTAAAATTCGTGGCATTACATGTATTTGTAAAGTTTTATAGAAATCGGTTACCGGAAAGTGCGCGAAACCAGTTTCATCCCCTAGTTTGCCACCCTTAGAGTTGGAATATTTTCTTCACATTTAAACGGGACCACTTTTGGGGTACTCTCTTTCCAACAAAAAAGAATCATCAAATCAGTTCGGAATTATCGCGTAACATACAAAAAGAATACGTCTAATTGAGAAGCTCCTACTTTTTTTGAAGTCGGTTGAAAATAATGAAACAAAGATACACAGTGCGTTTTAATTAATTAAATGAAAAATGCTTTGGCAGCCATAGCGGTTAATTGCTTTCATTGGGCAATTGAAGAGATTTTCTATTGCATTGTTGGATAATTTACACGTATGTCTTTCATAAGACTTTATCGTATTGAGATAAGACAACAGGTAATATTAATTTGCTCAAAAGCAGTGTCAAAATTCACATTATTATAATTAACAGTCCGCTTACGTGCTGCCATCGAACACAATTTTACAGCAACAATTTCATAAACAAAACTTTGATTTCTTAATACATACCCTCGCCCATCGACAAAAAAAATACCTTCATACAGATGATGCCAAAAGAGCCATGTTCGTAATTTATTTATTATCGAAAATTTCAAAAGAAATTACTACCGGCGGACTCATAACGACAGATACTCGTGCAGTTTCAAGAGTCGTGTTTTGTATATATTATAGTACAACACGATTAACTATCGTTCACGACTTTTTTGACGTTACGAAGACAATGGAAGGGCTAGAACGATAGCCGTTCGACAATAAATACAACATCATGATAAAAACGTGACGACAGATAATCGCAACTACTCCTGACGTCACGTTTTATTTATCGTTGTCTGCACGAGTTCTGCTCCCTACTCTCCCCTCACACATTGTCGTCACGATCCAGTCAGAATAGTTAGACACGACAGTTTTTCAACGATGAAAAGACGTCCACGACACAGTCACGTCAGACAACGGGAAATAAAACGTTACGACATAATGGAAAGGCGCCTTGACAACCTCACAGGACTGTATCACTAACATCTTGGGACACGATGCAAAACTTAGTAGCGGGAGTGGGAACCGTCGATGAAGACGCTTGCACATTTGAACTTACAACGGGCGTAGCCAAATACCACTTTTTCACATTTACAAAAAAGAAGAATTACATCCCGTCATCGCCAATACCTACGTAGAGTTCAGCTTTTGAATAATAATTGTTTGGAATCTAGACTCATGTTTTCTTCCCGTATATCTTTATCTAATACATACTCTTCAATTTTGTAACATGACTTTTCAATTAAAATACTTTTAATGTCAGTTTTAAACTTAGGAAATTATAATCTTAATATATGCTCCGGAATCTTATTGTAAAAACGTATCGTACTAATCGTGGTACCATGAGTTTGGCTCTAAATTATGAGTATCTTCTTTCTTAATGAAATTGTGTATATTTTAACGGGCATACAAAATATTTGAATAAATGCACTGTGATGGCACAATTATGATTTTGCTTGTATAATTTGTATCTTGTAAGTGTACATAAAAAAGCCAGATATTTTTGTCCAACATTCAATTAATATACCTACAGGTAGACTGTCACCGCAGGACTTCTAGACCCGCATACAAGAGGATGACAGAAGGTATTGTCTAGACAGCCACCGCCGGGTCGCCTTTATTTCATCATTCATCCGGTGAGGTAGTCGCTAAATCACACTTTTTGACAACCTACTGTCTGTTGTCAAAAAGTGTGATTGGATATATTGGAACCCGTTGGGGTTGCGCTGGAGACGCTATATGAGGAGGTTCTAGTAGGACTAACTTGAGAAAATGTTTCATTGCATAGCATAGACAATTTCTTAGTTTAAGAAAAAAGTTATTTGATGAGGTCGTTAAAAGGTAGTTCGCTGCAAAGACGTATAAATGGGATTTCAGAGATGCTAATCTGACACAATGTGACTCCTGCTGGTGAGCCCTTCATGTCCAAACACTTACACGGTGGAAGATCTTAGAAAGAAAAAAATCTTCTCAAAATTGTTTTCTCTATCTTTAGTAGGTATCTGTACCCGGTGTTCATGAACAGGTGCACACAAATGGACCTCCCGAACTTTGTTTAAGCTTGTTGATTGATTGGCACTTTATACAGCGTTTTGTAATTTTAAAATTTAAGTTAAGAAAATTAGTGGAGAAGTGAAGGTTGTCAAAAAAAAGATAATTGTTACATAGTACAATTTTTGATGCACACTTTTGCCAACACTTTAACGTCAGGCGTTAACACCCGATGTTGCGAATATCAGCATCCGCGTCCGCAGAAATTAAAACATCTGCATCCGCATCAGCATCTGCATTCATCGATGCTGATATTCATGGCGGATGTTCGAGCCTTATAGAATAATTTACAAACCTTCCAGAAGAAAATGAAGCTTGCAACTCAGATTGATTGTTTTCTTGTAGATTGATTATTTTGTTAATAAGTGTCACAACACAAAATCACAGCAATAATATTTTATTGCAATACCAAAGAAAATTTCATGAAATCTGAATCAGCAAGGATGTACATTTTTCGCGTTTTATTTTTCAATGCATCTGCATTAGCCTCCGCTGATGTTTGAGTCAAAAATCAGCACTCGCTGATATGTAAAATCCATGCATCAGCAACAACCCTGCAGTGGACATGGGGCTGCTCTTCCAACAAAAGGCTTTTGACCAAAGCCGCCAATCCTGGTCCAATGAGGGATCAGGGCTTCGTGCATTTGATAAAAAACATTATAAACACAGGTTTCTACTTGATTAAAAAAAAATAAAGCAACTTCACTGACTTACCAGTTATCAATAA